TCAATATGGGATTTTCTTTGGGGAAAATTTAAAAAAAAAAAAAAATGAGAGTCATAGCTTACACAGGTTTGAAACCACAGGATTATCACATCTCTGTAGTTCCTGCCTATAGTATTTAAATTATTTCATATTGTACTTCGACCCATTAAAATTCACCCATTATATTGTTGAAAGTGAAATCTTTAGAGAGAATGTTTCAGTCCCGTTTCTGGCACAAACAACGGTGCCTTCTTGAGTTTACATTTACTTTCTGTTTAGAGGAAAAAGAGGAAGTTGAAGTTGAAACTTTTTTTAAAAGTTTCCATCCATCCAGGGCTAGCCCTTGTGTGCTGCTGCTGCATTTACACTGGAGCAGCCAGCTGTTTGTCCCAGAGAAGCATAAATTGAGTTTATTTCAGAAAGTCATTGGCCTGGACAGCATAGATACCGGCTCTGTGCTCCAGAGAAAGATATTGATATCATCATGCAGAAGGTTTAAAAATTGTACCTGGCTACCTAGACTGAAGACAAGAAGGAAATATATCAAGACGTCAAGCAAGGGTACTTCTCCCTGAGTATATAGACTTCGGATGGTTGGAAGTGCTTTTCTTTTTGTTTCTCTAGCTTTCTGATTGTTCTATAATGATCCTAGCTTATATGTTAATGACTGAGAAAAAAAGAGAGAGTGAGAGAAAAAAATCACCGGGTTACCAACCACACATCATTCAGCGGGTGGGGAGCTGGGGAAGCTCACAGGACAAGCCAGGCCCGTGTCTGGTAGGAGCAGAGGCCTCACAGCAGCTCCTGACTCTCACAGAACTGGGTCTGGCCCCAGTACTCAGAGGAGTGCGGGGTGCAGCTCACCCGCTGGCTTCCAGAAGTAAGACCAAGCACCCATGAGTTCCATAGCTGCACCCTTTCACCTATTAAAAGTACAGCGCTGTGGTTAGAGCCCCACCTATGCCATCAAAACTGGCAGGGTAGGTGGACACCTTGCAAGTCACTTACTGGGTGTGTGACCTTGAACAAGTCAATTAGCCTCTCTGTTCCTGTTTTCTCATGTATTACAGAGGAATCCCTCTACAGTGGCTGTGAGAGCTAAGAGAGATGATTCATAGCAAGGGTCCAGCATACAGTAAGATCAAAATAAAGGTAAGCCATTATTAGGTCCCTGCCATGGAACACCAGTCTTCAAGTGCACTCCCCAAGCCATGCGGCTGGATCCCAAAACAACTAGAGAATGGTCCAAGGAATAGTGCCTTTCTTTCCCTTTCTTCTCTGCTGAAGGCAGGACTGGGGGACAGGGTTTGCTGTGAGCCCGGCGCTCTAGGGAGGGATGGAGGATGAGGACCACGCAGGAAAATATGCCAACAGGTCCCAAGGCCCCGCACTAAGGGCTAGAAATCCTGCTCTCAAAGTGAGAGGATTTCTAGTTTCTTGCGACTGCCACAGCTGCCAGCCATTGCCTTTGGCAAGGAGATGAGTGACTCAAGTGTGAGCTGGGACTTGGCAAGAGGACACCAAACCAGAAGGCCTCCAGGCAGGAAGCTCCAAAAAGGGCCACCTGCTGAAACAGTTTGTCTACAGGCAGCCCTCAGGACGGAGGTGGCACTCTGCTGTCAGGAGCAAATTCAGATATGAATACGCAGTGAACGTTTCAAGGTCCAACAGAACTTAGCATCCTGGCTTCCCAACTTTGAAACAGGTTTAAGGGGTCCACGCCAAAGATATGACCTCACACTTAAAATCACTGCAGCGTCTTAACTATGTGACATAAAAAGCAGCCCCCAGAAATTCAACAGCAAATCAAACTACACAGTTCTATGGCTACCTTCAGCCAAAATGTATTCCATTTGTAGGGAGTAGACTTGTCCTTTCCCAAACTTAAAATTACCTCACTTTAAATCAAAGATATAAATAAACCTCCTCATGTCCATTTAGAAAAAGTAATTACATTACTAGATTAATTACGCAGGTGAGTGTGTTCTATGCTACAGAAGGCAACCAACTCGTCCTGGTTTACTTTAGCACCAAAAGTCCCATATCCTGGGAAAACCCTCAGTCCCTGGCAGCCCAGAATGGTTGGTCCCCTTATCACTGCAAGAAAAAGTATGTATGTTGTGTGAGGAGGAAAACAGAAGAGACACAGTTACAAATGCAGAAGTGCCAAATGCCAAGTTTGTTTGTTTATAGCAATAGCTTCCAGTTCCTTCTCGTAGTACCAAAAAAAAAAAAAAAAAAAAAGTCTGAAAACCACACTTGCCTCTCCCTTCCCCCTTTCTTTTTACTCTTCCAAAATTCCAAAACAGAGTTAGGAAAGGAGCTTCCTCGTCTTGTATGATTGGGGTGAGGGTGCAGGGCTGACTGCTGACGTGGGGACTGCCAGAGCCCACCAAGAGCCTGCGTCTAGCGTCAGCAGGGCAGGACGCATCATCTTCCTTCACTCCCACTTCAGGCACAGTTACTTGGGACTTGACTTATCAAGAGCAAGAATGTGTCCTCAAGCGGAAAATCCAAGAGGCTTGGCAAAACTCAAGATTCACCACACAAATAGGGCATTTAACAAACGAGGGAGGAGTTAAGAAATGATTATTTTACAAATAGCTGAATGGAGAGCTAGGCACTCTTCTAGAAGCTGTAAGGCAGAGATTCCAAGCAGCTGGCTCGTACCCACAATGATGGAGCAAAAGTCACATAAGGAGGGGTTTAAACAAAGGGTTTTTAAGCCTCTGGTGAGGTTAAGAACCGGCTTCTAAGAATTTAAAGTTTCAAACTGAAAGGTAAGACTATATAAGGCAAGAAAGACTACACACTTCCTGGACTTTAAGCCACACAGAAACCATGGTTGCCCACCACTCCACCCTACCCCACCCCGCCCAGAACACCTCCTCAGCCAGCCTTCCTCTGGCTGTGCCCCAAAATAGGCTAGCAAGTTATAGGTGCTCTTGAATCTTAGAACTCCAATTCCTTTTATGCCTCAGACAACAGAACCAAATGAAAATTATACAACTCTTTCCCTCCACAGTAATACTACTTTTGAGAGGGAAGGGCAGCATGCATTCAGCAACATTTTAAAAGAGAAACACCCTTGAAGGTCCTACTGTGATACATCCTGAAGAATAAGTAACTTTCTTTCTTTGTAAGACCAAGTAATATACTTTTCACTAGTGTTGATACTGATTTAGAAGAGGATGCCTTCTTGTAACTCTTTGGGCACATCCAAGGACAAGACAGAGGTGTGTTAACCTCTAGCAGAGAGCAGAAGAGCCTGGAAGGCAGGAGACGGGAGCTAATCTCTGCCCAACAGACCAATCAATGGCTGTGGTCCTAAAGCAAGACATGCTTCACTCCTCTAGATCTCAGTTTCTTCATTTAAAAAATGAAGGTTTGGGGCTCAGTTGGTCTTTAGGATCCCTCGCAACTCTAAAATCCTGCATGAAATTCTTTTGTGTGATAATAATAAGACCTATTAGAAGTTTGTTTTGTTTTTTTGTACTTTGAAGATTCAGGAATAATGGACAAGTTCAGTAACTAACATGTCCTGGCGAAGATGACAAGACCAAGGCAGACTAAAACTGGAAGATTTAAAACAAGCAAATGTCTAACAGTTGTTGAAGTATGTGACCAAAAGATGGGGGGATTCCTAATATCAACTTACAAACACTTTTTAAATGCTCTGGAGCCAACGGGAACAAGCAGATTCATCACAATTACCAGCTGCTCCTCCTGCTAAATTTAACGATAACATGAATTTTAATTCAGTGATCCCTTCCCCGCAAAGGGAGGGGGGCGGGGGGCGGGGCGTGGATGAGCTGTAAAGACTTAGGGAAAGGAAACCAAAGCTTTGACTCTAAAAGACAGGAGAGCCTTTTAGATTGCATTTAAGTTGAAGGATGGACTGGCTAGATATTAACTGGGGACAGCGAGGCAACAGATGCAACCCACTCAGGAAGTATGAGATGTTTAAAACCAAGAATGGGCATGTTTGACCACATGTGTCAAAGTCAAGATTGCCTCTGGCACTACCAGGCGCCCAAAACAATGTGTATTCCACTCTCCATAATAAACAACGGGGGGGGGGGGGGGGGGGGGGGGCAAGTTATTTCTTTTTTTCGTGAAAGAAGCTGCAAAGAGTTTTGTCATGCAACTTTGGATGGATGCCTGTGAGTGTCAATGTCCTAAGAGCAGTAGAGTCCGCAAAGGTAAGGTGATTCCACTTCACACACCTATACTGTCAACCAATTCAGCAAATAGCCCCACCTCTCCGAATCGGCACCCTGGAGCTGCCCTGTGTGGTGTCTCTGAAAGGAAAGCAACACAGCTGATGGGCACAAGCAGAAGGTAGGTAATCCACCTCCTCTGAGTGGAGCCCTGGCTGGGCTTCACCTTCTCCTCGGAGAGATCGGCCAAAGCCCAGAGCGCTGTCTCCAAGGGTCCCCGTCGCGCATCACGCACACTCAGCCTCCCAGCTACTAAAGAGGAAGTCAGGATGTCATGTCAAATGGATAGACAGCCGACCACACAAGAGCCGCGGTCTGGGCCGGTCTCCGGCTGGGCTTGGGGAAGGGTCCCAGGATCCTTTCTCCCTCTCCATCCAACGTCCTCCTCCCCGCGGCGCAGACGAGCCTCCCCTCGGCCGGCACGGCTTGGCCGAGCCCGCGCTGCGCAGCTCGCGAGGAGCCGGAGGAGCACCTCGAGCCTCCCATCCCCCTGCCCAGCCCGGGCCGGGGGACAACACACGCAGGCACATATCCACACTCCAGCTCCCTGGCTGCGCCTGACGAACGCAACCCCTTCCCCAACCCGAGCGCGCAGTTCCGACGGCCCAGGGCGGGGACTGCGCAGGGGAAGAGAGCCGAAGCCGCCGGCTTTCGGAGCAGCCGGCGGCCGCACACACTCCTCCCCTACGCCGCGAGTAAACAGCTCGCGGGCGCGCTCCGCGCCGCGCCCCCATCCCCCCGCCGGGGCTCCGCGCCGCCCCGCGCCCGCGCGTCCCGCCCGCCGGCGCCGCCGCCCCCTACCTGGTCGGTGAGTTTGAGCACTGCCATTCTTCCGCTCCTTCGCGCTCACACACATACAGGTCCCTGGTCCGCAGATGTCACGCCAGGAGCCGGGGAAGCGGAAGGGATTGCCAGGGGAAGGGGAAAAAATCTGGCTCCCGAATTTGACAGCCCTCCCCCTGCTCCTCCTCCGCCGCCGCCTCCTCCCGCCGAGAGGCTGACACTGGCTAGTGGGGCTTGCAGTCGAGCCCGCCCGCCTTTATACAGGAAGTACCGGCTGCTGCCAGCCGGGCCGCCACTGACATCACCGCGCGCGGCTCGCTCGTGGCCGCGCCGCCTGTGCCGACGCTGCCTCCTGCCGCCCGCAGCCGCGCCTCGCAGCCCGCGGCCCCCGGCGCCCGCCCGTGCCGGCACCCTGCGCTCCGCGGGGGGCCGGGCTGCCTCCTGCTTTTCGCACCTGCTCACTGCGCCCTGGCAGGCCGGGCCCGGGCCGCAGGGCTGCCCGCGCTGCCCTCCAGCCCCAGAGGGTGCCCGGTTAGAGGCGCCCTCCGAAGCTGATCAAGATCCTACCTAGACCCATCTCTCTCTGTATCTCTCTCTGTATCTCTCTCTCTCTCTCTCTCTCTCTCTCTCTCTCTCTCCCTCTCACACACACACACACACACACACACACACACACACACAGCCACGGACACACCTGATGAGCAAGCCCGTGCGGACACACCCCGAGGGGGACAAGAAAAGCTGTCACTCGCATGCCACCAACTTTAGCCTGGAAGACTAGGTCACACCCATTCCCCTCAGCCTCTTCCCCTGATCTGAAATCAAATTGCCCAGCACTCCAGATTATCCTGCCCAGGTCAGAGACCATCATTCTGATGCTCTCTTTGTTTAAGACAGGGAAGCCCTGGGCACATAATTCTTTAGCAAGTGTTTGCCAAACACTAGAGGGATGGGGGTCAGGGACTCTGACCCTTTCACCCTGTTCTCCAGCTACCTCCCAGCTGGACACACACAGACTCCATCGTTAATTCAATCTCTGGGTTTTGTTTTAGGGAAGGTGGGAGTGGAGCAGAGTTACTGGAGAAGAAAAGAGGTCCTAAATTACCGAATTAATGGAGCTTTTGAGTGTTTCCACCTGTCCTGATTGACCCATGTGTACAAAATCCAGTTACTACACTCTTCAAGATAGAAAACTCAGCTGTCAAACAGCGTGGGCTACAAATGCAAGGAAGGGCACTGTTCATAGCCGCAGGAGGTGTTGATGCTTCTGGAATTTGCAGCATTTATCCTTCCACCGATTATGTCCTCCGTACCTACCTTGTACCAGAGGCTGGGATGAAAGGAGGAGCCTAAACTGGCAAGAGAGCTAGTCTTAAGGAAGTATCTGACAGAAACCACGTAGTTACCACTAATGGCCTTAAGCACAAATCAAGATAAGGGATCACAGGTGGGGAAAAAAAAATGCTTCTGAAGGAACCCATGACAAAGAAATCAGACCAGACTGGTGGGTGAGGGCAGGCTTCCCTGAGAAAGTGTCAAGAGTTGAGATCCTGGAGAAGGAAGAGATACGTAGCAATGAGATGGGGTACTGCTCCCAGGCAGCCCCACGTGCCCCAGGAAAGCCATAGGGCAAACCTGCAGGACAGTAGCATTGAGCAGCAAACCAGAGCTCGGGTTCCTGGGTCAAGGCCAAACATCTACCTTCATTCACAAACCGTATGTGGTCTCTTTCTCCCTACTTTCAGAGCCTCCCCCAAGATTCCACTGGCAAAAGGCAAGAAGGGCGTGGTAGCATCCTCGCATTTATCATCTAAGCATGGGATTGTGATTCAGATCGTCCAGAAAAGCGGAGAGGAAAGCACGCTCCTGGCTTCCACTCCTCTATCCTCAGTGATGCAGAGACAAAAATGTTTTCTCTCCAAGGCCTCCTTCAAGCACAAAATAGTTTGCTTTTGTTGCCTCTATGAGACAGTTCTTCACTGCTGTTGTTATGTCTATTTATTAATATCATACTGCATGGCTTTGTAAGTAAACTGAACAGGACACTGAACTCTCTACTTAAATATAGCCTCCTTTCAGAAGAGTGATAACAAAGGATTTAATTTGGCAGGTGCACTCAGGATCCACTTTGGTTCATCATGAGCATGCCTATACAGAAGTTACTGGGGCCTGATTTGACAGGAGGAGGGAGTCGTTCTCAACCCTACCAGGCCCATCACCCCCTTATGTAACTAGTATTTTAAACACTCCTGTTACTATTTTGAAATGAAATCCATAGATAAGATATTACCTACCTATGCAGATTTCAAAAAATCCAGTGTACTGTCCTAACTGTATAATAAAGGAAAAATAAAAGGAAAGTAATTTATAATTAATGTGTGTTTCAATAAGTAAATGTTATAACACAACTCTGTTAGAATACCAGATAAATAGTAAGATGCTTAACACCTGTATGTAGAACCACTGTGAACAAGGAAAGTACAAATGCAGACCATTGTGAAGGTTGTATTAACTCAAATATCAACATTCCTGTTGTCATAGGTGACATGACTTTTTGAGAGCCTGCAAGGTTCTTGGTAAAGTTCCAAGCAAAATAAAGGGCAAAGGATCAGGCTAAATTTATTAATACGGGTGCATTTACCAGGAAGTGTGGATTTAATGTGTTAGTTCAAGCATTGAAAGTGACTCCAACAGTTTTCTTAGTTGGGTAAATGAAACTCTGACTCAGTGTTGTCTATATTCAGTGAGATCAAGATGACAATATCCCTGGTATGATGTAGAGAAAGAAATTCAAAAGTTTATGGAGACGGAAGTGCTGGGGTTATTTTATCCTATGCAATGTGTTTACCCAGTCCCCAGCATCATGCCCCGAAAGGCCCAGGTGACAGTCTCTACTCTAAGGCATTGAAAAGTACACTGGGAAGGGGAGCAACAGGAAAGGTCTGCAGTAGCTGGGTATGATGGTGGGAGCTGCTTCCATTGAGGTGGCTCCCTGATCGCCATGGTAATGGGGTCCTGCCATGGCAATGGCCAAGTGGCAGTGTTTCATTGGCAGGGAAAGGAGGACCCGTTTATTTACTACAATGGGCAGCACAAAGTTGTACTCAAAGGTCTTAACCTGCCGGGATATTCGGTAACACCCTAGGTATCCCAGGGAATGAAATAAATGGGAAGACTTCTGAAATATTCCTTGATCTTGATCTTAATCTTTACCTAAAACCGTAGCTCTGCTGCCTGAAAGCTGACTTGAGCCATCACAGTGAAAACTTATTCTTCTAAGATGGATAAAAGACTTAAATATAAGTCGCAACACCATCAAAGTCCTAGAGGAGAACATTGGCAGGAAACTCTCAGATATCCCACGCAGCAATTTTTTCACTGATATGTCTCCTAAAGCAAGGGACATAAAGGAAAGAATAAACAAGTGGGACCTCATCAAAATAAGAAGCTTCTGCACGGCTAAAGAAAACATCAGCAAAATGAAAAGGGAGCCAACCATTTGGGAAAATATATTTGCTAATGATACATCAGATAGAGGTTTGATCTCCAAGATATACAAAGAACTCACTCGACTTTACTCCAAGAAGACAAACGATCCAATCAAAAAATGGGCAAAGGACCTGGGCAGATGCTTTTCTAAGGAGGAGATACAGAGGGCCCAGAGGCATTTGAAAGGATGCTCTGCATCACTAGCCATCAGAGAAATGCAGATCAAAACCACCATGAGGTACCACCTCACACCGGTCAGAATGGCCATCATAAACAGATCCACAAACAACAGGTGCTGGCGAGGCTGTGGAGAAAAGGGAACCCTAGTCCACTGTTGGTGGGAATGCAGACTGGTGCAGCCACTATGGAAAGCAGTGTGTAATTTCCTCAGAAAGCTGAAAATGGAACTGCCTTTTGATCCAGGTATTCCCCTGCTGGGACTATACCCTGAGAACACCAAAACGCCAATACAAAAGAACCTATGCACCCCAATGTTCATAGCAGCACAATTTACAATAGCCAAGTGTTGGAAGCAACCTAAATGCCCATCAGTAGATGACTGGATCAAAAAATTATGGTACATATACACAATGGAATACTACGCAGCAGAAAGAAAAAAGAAGTACTAAACTTTGCGACAGCATGGATGGAACTGGAGAGCATCATGCTAAGCGAAATAAGCCAGGGGGCGAAAGACAAATACCATATGATCTCACCTATAAGCAGAACCTAACCAACAATGCAAAGAAGCAAGGAAAATATGACCAGCAACACTGAAAGGAAAAGAAATCAACAGAGACAAGAGGGAAGGGGGGGGCAGGGAAAGGGAAGGGAAGGGGAAAGTCAAGGAACGTATAGCAAGGACTCATGGACAAAACCAAAGGGGAAGAGCTGAGGGAGGGAAGGTGGGAGGGGGCAAGGGAAAGAGGTGGGGGGAAGGCAGAGACAAATGTATTTAAAAAGTAAATAAATTAATTATAAAAAAAGAAAGAAAAAATATTTTAAAAAAGAAATTTTAAGTTATAAAAATAAAACTCTATTGAAAAATAAAAAAAAACAAAACTTATTCCTCTCAGCCAGTTTCCATACCTCAGCCAGTTCACAGACGAGCCCATCTATGAAAAGATTGGCGGGTCCCCTTGAAGAAGAACCTTGCAGCACTGCCTTAAATATATACTACAAATTTTCATCCAAGCCTTTCCCAAAGGAAGTAATGATGTCATTTACTAGGGTGACCATGCACTGGGGAAAAGGAAATATGTTGACATTTCAGAGATTACTAGACACTGTTTCTGAATTAATGCTAATTTCCAAGGATCCAAAATATCACTGGGTTCATGAATCAAAGTAGAGACTTATAGTAGTCAGATGGCAATGGTGTTTTCACCCAAGTATAAATCACCACGGATCCAGTACGTTTGCAGCTCTTACTATTAGGTCCAATCAACTTACTGTCTTTAGTTACTCTGTGGTCATTGCCTCAGCTCTTGAATGTATTATTAGAATAGACACACTCAGTAACTGGCATAATCCCCATTACTTCTCTGACCTACAGAGTAACGGCTATTGTGGTGGGAAGGGCCAAGTGGAAGCCTCTTGGAATTCCTTCTGCTACCAGGATAGAAAAACCAAGAGCAATAGCACATCCCTGGAGAGATGTAAATATTAGTATCACCACAA